GCTAGAAGTAGTTCAGACTCGTCCAAAGGTGCTTTTTGATTTGATCTCATTTATAAGATTTTGCTTTTGTATTTCACTGACTACACAGCTAAGTTGTGTCTGTGTGTCTCTGTACAGGAACTGAAATTCACCCTTGCAGTCACTAAGATGAAGGGCTACTTTGAGGCTTTCTTTGAGCAGCACCCTCCATTTAAATTGTCTCTCATAGAGATTAACACTGAGGAGACTGTATGGTCTGCTACCATCAGAGAAGGTACCGGTGCATGAGTCTTACTTTGGAGACACTTTTGTCTTTTGGAAGTTTGTGTTTATGTTGACCGAAAACCGAATAAACCAAAAAGGATTCACTGGTCCACGTCCATCTTTTGCTCTTCCCTTAGGTGACTGTGTGGATAACACTGAGAAGAAGCCGAGAAAAAGGACAAACAGTATGCTGGCTCTTTCACTTTTTTGTAATCCGATTAGACTTTAGCACGTTTTTAGCTTGAAAACATTAACTAATGTTATATCTGTCTCTGAAATAGGCAGACAGAGAAGCAGCAGCCCCTCAGAAGACGAACTAGCCTTTAAAAGAACTCGAATGCAAGACGAGCCAGGTATCTTTAAGTGTCTGACTGTGATTTCAGCAAAACTTCATGAACAACTTTATGGCCAAGTCAACAGTTCACACCTGAACTATTCCAGATATGCCTAAAATCTTACTAAAAACAAATACCCATGTGTTTATGTGCATCTTTCTCCAGATGGAGTGAAAACAGCGGCCACTCAGGGCCAGGACATGTCAGAGAAGCAGCTGCTACAGGTGGCCAAGCGGCTCGGGAAGGAGTGGAAACAGGTGGCTATCTTTCTAGATGTTACCTCCAAGGAGCTGGATAATATCCAGACAGCAGAGACAGATGTGACCATGCAGAAGTTGAAAATGCTGTTGATGTGGAAGAACAGGAATTCGGGAGAAGCCACGGCTAGGAATCTTTTGGAAAGTGTGAAGGAGCTGGATGACTTGCCAAATGAGGTTCATCAGACATTACAAGGTACAACACTGCAAACCTAAACAATTTAAGATGGTGATGAATGCTCGTGAAGAGCAGGCATGTAAAAGTCAACCAATCAAATTGTTGTTAGATGGAAAATCAAACTGATCAACCTACAGAGGGCTGAATTCAGGGACACCCCAAAAATCAAAGTAAAAAAATAATCCAGCAGACTAGTCTGTGTTACCAAAATTTTATTGCAGGAAGTAGTTTGTATGACCCACACATGCTTGGTATCCTGAGGGATCTTTTCTCATATCTGGACTAGGGCATCACTGAACACCTGAGAGGTGCTCGATTGGATTTAGTCAGGCAGCGAGTCAGGGGTATCAATGCATTCATCCTCCAGGAACCACCTACATAGTCTCTCCACGTGTGACCGGGCAGCAGGAGGAAGCCAGTACCCACTGCACAAGTCTAGGGTGTGACAATACGATTCAAGGAATTCATCCTGATATCTAACTGCAGTCATTGTGCCGTTGCCTAACCTGCAGTGGTTCGTGTGTCTCTCAGACCATCACTGACCCACCACCAAACCGGTTAACGGGTAACTGAACGACGTTAAAAGCAGCATAACCTTCTCCGCGGCTTCTCCAGCCTCTCTCACACGTGCTCAGGGTAAGCTTGCTAAATACGAGTCTCCTGGAATCTCCTCCATGCTCTTGAGACTCTGCCGGTCAATCGCAAAGGCACGTATTGACCTGCTGGGTCTAGGTATGGCCAACTGCTACCAGCGGTGACACTGACCCTAGCTGAGGAGGGAAAAAATGCGAGTGTCCTCAACCTGTAAAACATTCCTGTTTTATGGGTTGTCTCATTGTTCCTCCTCTTGCAACACCTGTTGTTTATTTCATTAACACCAAAGCAGCTGAAACCGATTAACAACACCCTCTGCTGATTAACTGACCAGGACAAAATCCCAGAACTTTAACTGACTTGATGCTTTGCTCAGATTAAAAAGTGTTCCTTTTCATTTTTTAGAGCAGTGTATACAAATAGCCATCTGCACAGGCTCATGTTGAATCTGTACAAAAGGGACAAGCCTTTTGTTATCAGTATGCATAAGCTGGTAATGTTTGAGCAAGCTTCGGTTACATGCAGATAAACAGTCCTTTCCACAGAGCACAAAAGATGGATGCCATTTGAGAAAATGCATCAGATAACCATCAGCTATGGTCTGCTGATGATTTATCTTGTTTTTCTGCATTAGTCAAACAAATATTAGCTGGTGGAAAGGAAAATCTTAGTCCAGATATCCCCTGGATACACCAAAAGCCCAGAAAAATACAGTACTAGTGAGATGACATATTTTATTTGATGTATTTTTGTAGGCTAACCCTGGGACTGAGGACCACACCTGGTTCCCTTTGAAAACAAACAAACAAAAAAAACAGTGGGACTTTTCCACTTCGTGGATAATTGCAAAACAAAACTGGGAAATAAAAGGTTATGACTGTACGTGTTTCATTCAGCAAGACAATCTTGACCAATTCTTGTACTTTTATGTGTTTTGGGTTTTTTCTTTTAGTATATTTTTACTTTTTAATAGGTGTAAATAATTAAAATCTTTTACCAAATGAGACTCACAAGTTTGCGATTCTTGGAGAAAAGTAAAATCCTAACATCGGAGTTTATAACTTAGGCATGTTCAGTGTGATGACGTGAATGTCTGAAGGATCATGAAACCGCTTGTTAACGAACAACTTTTACTCTAAAACAAACTGTAAGAAATACTCCAAGCTTCTGTTAGTCACTGACTTTATTTCAGGCATCTAACCGAAAAACTGTTCTAAAACCCATCACGGTTAGGACAGGGGAACCCGAAATACAAAAGGCTCATTTCCAGGAACCGTAGAATGGGACAGGCTCCCAGAGGCCAACTCATCAGAGTAGTTGTGTTTGCGATGAGCTGAAACTTCTTGCTACTTACCTAAATAAAGTATGCATGACAATCCCACCGATTCTATGTACTGCAGTACAAATATTACTGTCTCAGCAGCTCTTTCACTCTTTAGGTGAAGAGCACTGAAAATTCAAACTCAAAGGATGGTACAGAGTCTTAATTGATTATTTGTTGTTTGTTGTTTTCAGATATGATGGTTAACGAAGCGGTAAAGTGAAAGGGAAAATGAAAATGAATTCCATTACTCTTGGATATCATCGGCGGGAAGAAACAATCTCAGGAACACAACAGAGCAGAGTTAACGTCTCCCTTCAGTTTGCATTTCTCTTTGAATATTTTCTAGATATGAAACTGATTTGTTTCTAGTTCTGCATTTCATAAAAAGGAATCATTTCCTTTTGTTTCCCTTCTTTAGGTCAGCTGTAGTTTTCTTGGGTTCTGTGGTGAGTACAGAGCCGACTGTGCTGTATCTAAGGATACAGAAATAAATTAGCTTACCTTTATCTTTAAGCAGGTAAAAAAAATGACCAGTAGAGGCGTAGAGGTCATTGAGATGTTTAGTAGCTAATTATGTAGCCAGTAACAGATGTAAATGTTTGGTGCTGCAGTGTTGAAACTGCAAAGACATCTGGAAAAATCCATCCATTTGTGTGTGTTCTTTCACTTTTGAATGTTGGGCTTGTGGGAATTTTTATAAAACAATTAGGCATTATATCACGTGGACGTGAAAATGACTGTCCACAGAATTACAGACTGAACTATGAAACTAGTTTGTGTTTTTGTAAACTTGTCCGCACTATTTCCTGTAAATAGATTCCATGTCATTGTCACTCATGTTTTTTTTAAAGCCAGTTATGTCTGTTTTTTGTCTACATGTCCTTTATTTGATGCGATAACCGTGACTCTGTAAAACAGCTGTGCACGAGGACCAGAAAATGATGCTGATTATGTTTAACTGGGAATTACGTCCTGCCCTCCGGAGGCTTGAATGCATTTCTTTTCTTTTTTTTTTTGGTTTTTTTCCCCTCAAATGTGTAATCTTTATGAAAAACAAAAATGCAGCATGTTGGGATTCAGGGATAAATTGAGGTGTTTTACCTGTGTGAGTGCAGCTAAAACTAAGCAACGTATATTTTAATTCAGTTTTTTGAGGATTATTTCGCAGATCTAGACCTCAGGTACGATTAAGTACAATAAAATCAGCAGGAACATCTGTGGAAATCTTTCAGGTACCAATTGCAAATGTTTTTGTAAACATTATTTGAGAAAACCACAATGTTTCATTCAGAGAAAAGGGTTGTTTCCTTAAAAGAAAAATACCACTAACAGTCCAATTTATCCCTGTTACAAATGTGTTGTTGTTGTTGTTTTTGTTGTTTTTTTTTCCTTTTCTTTTTAAATCATGTCAGAATCTCCAAAGACTTTTTATAAAACAAGTGAAATCACTGTTTGTTTCATCATTTTCAGGAAAGTGATCCGAATTCACACCAAAACAGAATAGTTCCTGCTTTTGATCGTGTCTCACCAAGTTTCAGCTGCTTAGTTTTTACGTAATATTATTAGAACGTTGTTCAAATAAAAGGAAACAAATCAGATCATGAAGAACTGAATACTGTGGAAACCAAAATCATCTGTCCTATAAGGGTAGGATTCGAGCTCGAGACAAAAATCAAAGTTAAGATTGTTCAGGTGTTCCCTTCATTTACTTTTTGTATATTTTGAAACAGGCAGTAGCCTTGGCAGAAGAGATGAAGTAACGAAGCGCTATTGACTGAAGGAAACAACTGAAAGTGTCTTACATGTCTCTTTTTTACTGCATTTCTTAACTTCTAACTGATGGTGAACAGTTTCAATCAAAATCACTTCAACTTTGATGCTTGATAACAAAATACTTTATTTAAATAACAATAAATAATACAACTGGAGATCAAATAAATAAATAGATGCAATAAATAAATAAATAAAATCATAACTCACGCCTAAGCGTAACGATAATTTGAACATTCTTCAGCACTTACTGAATGAAGATACTGGAGTTGAACCAGCTAGCTTATGCCTGAGTAAACTTCCTTCAGTGCAGACAGTTGTGCAGCAGGTACATTGTAGAACTTGGTCAGTAGTTGAAAGAGATGGTAGTGACTAATTAGGACAGCTTGTTCTGATGTGATAATAGAGATTTGATATTTGTTGTGCTATTATTTGATGAGGCTGAAGTCGAAGAGGTTGCAGGACGTTTACTTCCTGTGGTCTCCCGAGGAGATGTAGCCAATGGCTCGGTTGATAGTGATGGCTCTGATGTGGAAGCCTTTCATCATCTTATTCATCTCCAGCCGGTTGTTGTAGGACTCATTGCCCCACACTTTGGCATCCTGTTACAACAGGAGAGGATAGAGTGTGAATGCAGGACAATAAGGTCTCAGGAAAAGAAACCCCAAATACTCAAGATCAGTGATCCTAAAGACTGAAAGACAAGGTGTAAATATGGAACAAAGAATATAAAAATACCTTTGAGGGCAGGTTCTCTACGTCCAGCTGCGGAAAGCAGTTCTGTATAAACCGAGGAATATTTAGTTAGACAAGTACTTCCCAGGAGATTCAAACTATTTCACCTTGAAGTCTCAATGTCTCAATTTTAAAAAAGAAATTACAAGATAAACACACCTCTGTGAGATTCTTTGTGATTTCCACGATTGGGCTCAGAAGTCTAATTTCCTCTGGACCATTTTTGAGAGGACCTGTGAGGTAAGATGCAATCGCTGCGTGATAGTAGAGCAGGTCCTTCTTTATGTTCTTCAGACATTCACTCTGTCAAAACAATGGGAAAACCCCGTTCAGTTTCAGCTACAATACCAACACATGCATATGAATCATAGCTTCTTTTTTTATAGAATATACAGTGTGTCTGACACTGACCTCACTGAAGGAAGAATTTCTCTGTGTCACGCAACCTAAGTTCTGTGCAGGAAAACAAACAGACATTTAAAATCAGCAATGTTTACACTACAGTCATTTGAAGTTGACCAACCAATTAAAACACAGTGAAAGCTGAGCTGAAATTATGACAGCTGTCAGCTGTCCCCATAAACTGTGCTGCTTTGAGAAAAGGCTCACCTGAGTCAGAGTGGGTGCACAGGCCAGTACTGTCTCCCCAGTATTCCTCATCTCAATTTTTTCCGATTGGATACCATCACTCAAATAAATCTGTAATACACAGTAAAGAAATTATTGCTACAGAGTAGAATATTCACGGATAAACGACACAGATACCGAGAAAACAAAGGGAGGAAAATGAAGCAAAAATCACACGCTGCTGAGATTTGTACTCACGCTGTCCAGAGCTTTTGAGATGTTCAGCAGGAGCATCTTGTAGAAGTCGGCGCACTGACCGCCGGTCCCCGGGCTCGGTGCGGGCACCGGGAGAGCTTCGGATGTGCGCCAGCTCAGGGACAGCAGCAGCACACAGCTGGCGACGTCTGCAAGGAAAGAGAGAAACAGCCGTCAACGCACGAGTCTACACGGGGATTACGACACCCAGTTTGCACGAGCACGCAACAGAGCAATTTAAATAACAGCCTATCTGACTTACATAGTTGAATGTTTGCCATAAGACTGCTGATCAGATAGGGAACTTGGTCAGAGCTTGGTAAATCAGCACTGTTTCAGTCTCCGTATGATGCTGGGGTTTATATACTTAACAGCAGGGGGGGATTCCCTTAACTAAAACTAAAAGCATACATCATTATGTAATTTTTGTATGGTTGAAAGAAAAACAAAAGCTCTCTCTCTCTCTCTTTGATTAATAGTCTTAAATACCCAGCTCTGGGAAAAATTAATGCGCGATTTATGAGAGCATTTCCTATGTACCAAGGTGTAAAAAAGTCCACAATGATGAATAGCCTTCTAGTGAGGTAATCGTTGAGATCTTTTTTATATTAGGGGAAAATAAACAAGGAGTTTGCCGATGTGATTGTTGCAGATTGACAAGAAGCATCTATGAGGGGCACTTTCGATAAACTATATATACTCACAAGCTGAGATTCGTTCAGCATCCATGTCCAGTGCCTTTACTTTCAGACTATATATAGCCCACAGTGCTGGAAGCTGACGACGCCCTACCCACAACATATCAAAGTATAGTCAAGTGACGGCGTTTGCATATTTGCATCAAATCAAAACAACACGGATGGATGACGATGAAGGGAAATTATTTTTTTAAGCAAAATTTTCAGTACATTGAAGCGCATGCACTGCGCAGCCTGTTCTCAGAAAGTGTGCAGTGTTATAAAGATGCAGTGCACGTGTACCATTTTATTCACTGCAGCAGTCTGTGCTTGTGAGGTGCACAGTTATTGATTCCTGCAGACCTGGCTGCAGAATAAATCATAAAAAACAGAAATAAAATAACCCAACTGTTGGTGAAAAGGAGCGGCTGATAGTAAACTAATCATAGCAGGGGCCAAACCAACATTGTGGTCTGTGGTGGTAAATTGTCAGTGGACTGTCATTAGGTGAGTAAGCGCCTCATTCACTTGTGGTAATTAATTCCACGGACGTTCTCCCCAACAGATACAACCGGGTGTCCATTCAGGCATGACTAATTACGCATGTTCTTGACCAACTGACTGATAACGTCAATGAAGAGGAGGTGGCATTATTATTATTATTATTTTCCTCGTGTTGAGGAGGAGGTGGTTGTGGTTTATGTCTGCTTTGTTTTCACTCATGCTCAAACTTGGAAAACAATGAGCAATGCCAACCAATCCCCACAGGGCAGGGTAACACGGTAGCCTGGCCATAGCGCTGTTTATCAAATCTATTAGAGAAATATCGGCTAAAGCTACAGTTTCTTTGCATAAAATATTAAATAATAACATTTAAATTACACAGTGTAGCCGCCTGACAATGTAGTCCCACCAGTATGACACTAAAATGCTGCTAAGGGACAGAGAATTAAATCACTGGATAATAAAAGTCCAAGAAAAAGTTTAAAAGAGAAGTTCTTCAGAATGGGTACTTTCTTCTACACTTAGATTATGTTCTATATATATATCAGCTCCTTTTTACTTATAAATTACCTTTTAACCACTCCAGCAAATGATATGAATGCTCCCAGTATCCATGAATGTAGTTCTGAACTGCGTATTTGCAAGTTTTTAAAATAGTTTTGTGTCCTGACACAGTGACTGTAGGTATTATTTACAAGAAGATAATTTTCAGGTGGCGTTTGGATATCAAAGTTAACTGTTAAATAACCCTACTACTTGAAACATTTAATTAAATAAATTCTCCTAAATTGGTTTTACTTTTCCGTGAAAGGAAAGTTAATCTATCCATTTTTATTTATTCATTTTTTACATGAAATAACAAAAAAGATGAAACAGACAGATGAGTGTTCATGTTCCGTGAAATGTGTATTTAACCTGTGTTAAATACACATGTCACTGAGGCTAATCCTAACGCTAACCCTGGAAGGTTGTGGATATGATCAAAACCTCCAGAACAACAGTGAAGGTGAGACTGTTTTAATGTCTATTTCATATGTGACAAATTAACTTTGAACTCTTTTTAGATGCTGTCTATGCTATGAGCTATCGTTCTGCTTTCTATCTATCCACAGAGGATCGGAGAATTACACAAGACTCAAAATGAGAGTAACGTGAAATTTTGAAACACACAAAGCACTACTTTTGTTCTCCTCTCTCACTCGTTTTCAGAAACTGCCGTCTACTGTGCTTACCCACTTTTGAAGGGAAGTGCATTCTCTGAAACTGTGGTCATCGTGTGGTTATGAGGAGTTTCCTGGCCTTTGTCTTTGGACCATCAGACTTAAACTTACCATCACTCACTTTATACAATACAACATATGCTCAGATATATGATCCGAGAGTAAGAAGGGGAGATTTTCCAAGTAAAAACACTGTATTCATTACCAAACCTACAAGTCATATAGAACTATTTCTGTATCCTTTTACCTTTCACTGGACCACAAGTGGCCCTTCGTTAAATATTTTAATTCCACAAACTGTCCTTTTTCTTGAGAAACAAAAATCCCTGAATGTGACCCAAAAGGGGTTGCCCAAATTGATATGAAGTCCCTTTAAGAGCAGAAACGCAACCCCAATAACCCTCGTAGTGAGAACTACGAGTGTCATGATGAGGCAAGACCGAAAAAGGGAGTTGAGTCATACTACGTGTGATGTGATGTCATATACTCTCACTGCTATTGTGAGGTTTTAGTTCTTGCACTCAAGGAGGAAGCTCAACTGAAAGCGCAATTTCATCTCTATGTTATGCAGCAGCAGCAAAAGCAGCAAGTAGAAGTGCACAGCAAACCGCCATATATGAAACAAAGTTTATTCTTTATTTTACATATCTGTACATAAACATTTCTTCCCTCAAATAAAGTATCTGAATACAGTAGGATGAAAACAATATTAACACACTTATTCATTTAAAATGACTCGTGTCAGAAAATCAACATTCACAAAATGTTGAAGAGCAATTAGAGTGAACGTATTACCAAAAAAATCTACAACTCCACTACAAGGCAGGCATGTTTTCCTTTTACACTCTTATAGCACCTTCAAACGAACATTTCTCATCAGCTGAAAACGACCATTTGTGCAGAATAAAAACGGGTCGACTCTGAAATACTTTTAAATTACCGTCCAACTTAAAATGGTCTGAAGTTAGTTTTCCATGATTTTTTTTTCTCATACAGCGTTGTTTCATTTTTCTTCTTCTTTTTTAAATCTCATGACTGACTTTCTACTAAATTTTTCACTATTATTTTGTGTTTTTTTATCTCCACAAGTTTTGAGCTTGAACAGTCATAATTTAGTGGTGAATGTAGAAAGTTAAAAAAAGAAACGAGAGCAAAGCGAGGCCGATCACTGCACAGGAAGCTGGGGGACAGAATCCATGACGACACACAATCAGTTGCCTCCTCTCCCAGGAAACAGGACGTGCTACACCGTCCTTTGCGCTGGGAGAAAACCACAGAAGCGAATGAACGAGGGCGGCCTTCTTCTGTGCTGCTGCTACCGCTGAAGTCAGTGAGTTGGACAGAAAGGGAGATGGGGAGGTTCGGGAGCAGACAGGGAAGCAGCGAGGAGCAAAGTACTTAGGACAAGCGGGGAGGGGTTCGGATCGACGCGGGGCAGAGGTGGAATGGCTGGAGGGGGAAAGCTTGTTTGGGAGCAGGGGACTAAGCTTGGCATAGGGAAGCGGATTGCAGGTGAGGGTGGGGAGTGTTAGGGTGGGGGGTGCTTGGGTGGAGGTTGGGGTGGTGGGGGCATCTTATTTGGATAGGGTTTTCTCAGCCAAATGTTTCTGCTGGCTCTCGGCATGCCTGGAAAGAGAAAAGTTTTATATTATATTTATATTGACACTTAAATGATGAATTAAGTGACTCAACAAATCCAAAGATAAACAAGAGCACTCAAGCAGGGCAACTCCCCCTGAAGAGCGAGGGCCACACTAAAACTTTGTCACAATATGATGAGCCAAGCCTGTTATGACGTTGCAGGGCGTCGTACTAAAAACACAAAGTCTGCTCTCTCCACGCCCTTTCATACAACAAGTTACTCAAATTAGTTTCTTGACTTCTTTTCATGTCCCCCAAAGCCTAGTATGTTATTGGGGAGTTTGAAGAAGATTAATAAAATTTTTTTGCATTTGGTACCACCCTGACAACAAATTGGTATCGATCATCACACCAAATTTAGAAAACTGTGGATGCTAGACCGCTAACAAAGAGACAGACAGAAACGGTTACACACAGAGAACAACACCAACAGCTAAAGCTGAATATCTGATCCCCACATGCCCTGGCTAACCTGCTGAGCCCGCCAGAGGTTTTTTCCTTTCAAAGGGAAGTTTCTGTCTCCCCAAGTGCTTGCTCATAAGGGACTGTTAGATCGCTGAGGTTCTTTTTATTAAGTTGAAAAGTTGAAAAGTCTTGACCTCTTAGTGTAAAATGTAAAAAAACTTCTTTGGTTTAAAAAAAAAAAGGAAAATCTACTAAAATCTCTTAGGTGCACAGGTGCATTGGGTGGCATGTTCACCTTCACATGCATCACCATTAGTTTTACTTCAGGAGCTACATGCACAGCTGAAAACAGTCCCTTACAAATGGATTACTTACTCACATTTGAGTAATGTTTGCTCAAAGGGGAACTCTGCACATTTAAGACATTAAAGCTTGCAAGTGTTTACAATTCTCAGGGAGAACTACTTCACATGTGATAAGAAGTTGCGCAAAGACTTTTACAGCCACTGAGAGAGCCGTTGAAGTTTGCAAAATCTGCGTATGAATGAATCCCTTGCGTTCTTTTTTATAAGTTAAAAAAAATAAATAAATAGTGGGACGTGCAGTGAATAAATAGTTGAAAAGTGCTTTGCCACCTGGTGAGGTCCTCTATGTCAACCAGCATGGCGTCTTGCTCCATGTGTAGCTCATCCCGAATCAGTAGCAACTGTACGAGCTCCTCGTTGAGACCTGGAGAGATCGATAAGAGGCGGAACAGACACTGACCACAATGATACAGCATAATTTCATATTCAAACTACTGAAACTAGGGAAACACCACAATTACCACAACTGATCATACCAGTATTCCATTGTGATCCTAACAATAGATACTAAATCTACAAGAAACACTGGAAGTGATCCCCTCAAATTCCCATTATGGGTTCATACCATGGCCACTGAAAACTTTATCAGCAGTCTGACCACACACACTCACGCTGCTCTCGCTGTCTTTAATATCACATGTTACAGCTATTGTCCCTTCAGTGCCAGAAAATATGAAGCATAAACTAAAGATATTTTCAACGGGGAAAGTCTGCTTTGTAAGTAAAAACAAACTCGTGCTTTTGGACTCCTGGGGATTTTTGGAACTTTTTTATGTAAGATGCGAGATTATTCATCCAGCAGTACAGGGATCAATGATGTGTACCGTGCAGTAACAGTAAATGCTCAGGGGAAGCTGTTAACTGGTACAACTCTCTGAAGTGACTAACTTATATATAAAAGTACTTTCACATCCACTAAAAAGGGTAGGGGTCACTATGTATGTGCATGTTTTTCCCCAGTTTATCTCTTGCTCATTTCTGCAAGTGAAAGCAGAGGTCAGCGTGATTCTGTTTGTATTCTGGGCGTGTGGTCAACTCACTTTCAATCTGGGAGTGCAGGTCGTTTACTATAACCTGGAGCTGTCCCACTGTCATGTCTCTCAGGTCTGTGGGCTTCAGGCTCCTTTTCATTAGACACTCGCTGATGTGTGGCATGTGTGGAAGCTGCCGAAATAGACAGAGTTATGTAGGGGAGAAAAAACAAGAGCAGAAAACCCTGTTAGACAATGTGTTTTCCCTAATTGGATAGTGAAACCTCACGCTAATAACCAAAGCACAAAATGCACAACTGACTTCTTTACTTTTAAAAAATATTTATATTTGAATGTTTACAGATGACAAACTGATCAAATGAACAGAAAACTGATGCATTTAATATTCCTTAAATCCAACGTGCAAAAAGCTCCATAAAGGCTGTGACTGCAGCTCATGATCCCGAGCCTTTAAACCACACAGTCAAGCCTAGAAACAAATTGCCCTTCACACCCTCACGCCACTGGAAAGTGGCTCGTCCTCATCGTCTTATATTTTATGTTTATACGTTTTATCGCTGTAACGCCAAGTGTATCATATTTGATACGTCAGTTTTCGAGACCTCTACATCATCAGTGATTTTTTTAACCCCCTTATATGTTTATGTCAGTTTAAAGAAACGAATGCCGAATGTAGCGAAAACTCATATATTCAAATTGATATTCATTTTTTTTATTTCAAATTTTTCAGAGGCTTCAATGAACGTTCCAGTTTTTTTAAAACAAATGTGATTTTTCTGGCAATTATCTCGTGGTTCAGGCTTTAAAGGGTTAATTATATTTCTATGGTAAAACATGGTAAATGCTGTACATGTTTTCAGTTCCTCACCGCAGCTTTTCTACACATTTATTTCCTCGACAGAAACCGAAGGACTGATTGTTTTGTGAACACAGAAATTGCTCTCCAGCAATTTGCTCATTTGCTCTGTTTTCAAATACTTAACTCATAACTTTAATAACGTTTTGATAGCAGCAATAAACTATAAACTTAAGAATTACCAGCTCACTATATTTTAGGGCCTTTAATGTTTAGACGTGTTTTCTTTTTCTTGACAATCTCTTTTAAAGTACAGTATGAACACTGAATAGGTAATAGCTCTGTAAGTATTTACCCAAACACACATGAAATAAATTATGTACCCCATAGAATTACAGCTGGTATTTTATAACTTATAGAAGTATAAAATTTAACTTATGTAACTTCAATTTCAACATAAACTCCAATGAGTTTTATTAAATCAAAGATTATAAATTCAGTTTTACTGAGTTTATTGTAACTTCACTGTGGGAGCTTGTTTCTGCCACTGAAAAATAACCAGAAAAATCAATTTTCAGTTCAATATCTCAAAATTTCAATGGATTTTCTCATTTTTTTACATATTTACTCTGAACGTTGATTTGAAATTTTGAGTTAATAATGCAACATTTTGACTTCTGGATGACAACGAATGCTCGTTTTGTTTTCCAGTTGCTTAAGTGTTTGTGTCAAATGATTTAACTCTTCCAACAAAACAGACTCTGTACTATCCGAACCTGAACAAGTTCTGAATTATGTTTCATTGAATCTCTATTTTAAACTTCAGACATTGGCAGATTTCATTCAATCTTATGAATATCTGATCTGCCATTCACTGCTCCCAGACTCTGACATCTGACATCTGAGCCTGATTAGATTTACACTTTTTTGTATTCAAAAAACAACCTTAAGAAAAACAAACGTGAACCCGGTTAAACCCACACTGTCAGGAATTATCAGCAGAATAAGGGCAGTGAAACTGAATCCGAGTGGGAAATAAAAGAGTCAGCTGTTTTGCCTGAACGCTTTCTGTTTGCATTCTGCAAAAGGAATGAATGCATCCCAGGCTCCTGCTTCCCTGCTGAAACAAAAGGATATATTTCCCTTTGTTTTTCCTTTGAGCGGCAGTAAAGGTGGGGGATTTCAAGTAGGCGCTACTGTTTGTTCACAAACATGTTGACAGCACCTTATACAAGTCCACAGCACATGAACTCGGCGTCTCTGTGGGTTGCTGTCTCTCCAGCAGGGGCCAACAGTGAGACCACTGAATTATTTTTACTTCACAGAGTCATCTCATGTCTAATTTACATTTATATCACCTCTCTTTTCTTGGAACCTTTTGATGCTGCAAGTTAGCAAGAAATCACAGTCGGTTGCACCTGTAGTGCAAACATCGAGCACGTAATCAAAGACGAGTGACGAGAAAGAGATGAGAAAATAGATATTTAAACTCTCCCTTCACTATTACTTTTAACATGCTAGAATCTGTGTAGCATTTTAGTGCATGTATATATATGTTTTAAACTTTTTTAGGCTTTTTTCTGCTGGTTTTGTGTATATCAGAATCTCCTTGCACTAGCACCGGTTCCTTCAGATGCAATAAAGCACTAAAGCATCACGTGTGCTTAGTGAGGCTCACCTGGGCGGATCATTTCCTCTCTGTCTCTGCCTCTCTTAACAATCTGTGTCAACCAGTCTGCATTCTTTATCTCTGCATCCAGCGCCCGTTTCCTCGGCCGTGGCCCACTTTCACCTCCAGCCTCAGTGGAGATAAACGCGAAGAGAACGCACTCATGCTCTCTTTTCGTAAGGGGTGCGTGGGCTCGCTCTTCTTGGTAGTCTCATTTCACTTTCACATTACTACCGGAGCAAGTATATATGAGGCTGTCATGCGTCAGTTTCAGTTTCGGGAAATTGGCTATGTACAAGAAGGTCACTTGAGAGTGACATAAGGAGAAATGTGATGTCAGCATGCGTGGGCCATGGGAAAGGCTTGAGACTGGTATTAGTCCTGACTCAACTTCTGAGTTTCTGTGGTAGACTGACCGTACTGCTAATTGTCATCTGAATATTCAAAACCAGAAAGATAATTTCCTGTGATGACTCTGTGTCATATTGAGGAGCTGTAAAGCTTTGTGAATGAAGTCAAGAAAGAAACTAGAGGCTTTACAGTGGAAACAAATTATTGCCCCCATTTCCCTCTTACTCATTTTCTCACTTTCTCTCAGTGATTCTGCTTGAAATTTTAGGACGACTCTCTAACCAGCAGACAGACATTTAGGTGTAATCTCACTGCACAGGCCACAGCTTCCGTTCTTTTCTCTTGCCCAGTGGCAGGTCTGGCCACTTCATCAGAAACTTCATCACTTACTTTTAGCGTATCATTTCTGTTGTTTATCCAGTAGTATTTTCAGTTGGTAATGAAGTATTAGCATCTGGTATTAGCTATAAACGCAGTAGCTTTAGCCCATATTTGAAATCTTTATGGATTATCTTTAATTTTTTATTCAACCTGTTACCTGTAGGTATATATTAAAACTCTTCGTATATATTTTAACTGTTTGTTAGTAATGTAGCTTTAGCTTTATTAGCTTTAACTAATATTTCACCTGTTTATCTTTAGTTTATCCACACAGAGCTAAAGAAGGATAATGATTTAGCAATTAACTATTTCACCTGTTTATCCTTAGAGTTTTAGTGCTACTTTAATTATCTTGACCCAGTCTTGCTTTGGAAAAGCTAGTTTTCTTCAAGAAGTGTTGACTTTAAGGTTTTATAAACAGACGGTGTATAAAACATTAAAAGTCTACACCTGACTCGGGGTTACTGAAAGCTGTGTATAACAATAAGTTTCACATATCAGGGCATAGTACAAACTAGGCCTTCACGGGATTATTGCAGCACCTTGAGTCATTTCTTTTTCAGCCTTTCTGTTGTACACCTGCTTTATGCCAAGCTTTAGCTGTTGGAGAAATGATCTATTTAGATCTACAATACTTTGGGAAACACAGGAGTTCACGGTCGACTTAACAGTATGAGGTGTTTGTGCTGATTGTGTTGATTTGCAGTGTTTGGACTTTCCCAAATGTAGTGCTGTGGCCAAATATCTGTCCAAGGGACACTGTTCCACAAGTCTTGTGGTTCGTTCAGTTGTAATTTTGCAAACATAATCCACGCTGTCGTGGTCTTTTTTGTTTGTTTGTTTATGATTGATGGGGCTTTTTCCGTATAATTGCAGAGTCTTTACCTTACAAAATAAAACGCCTTGAGGCGACTGCTGTTGTGATTTGGAGCTATATAAATGAAACTGAACTGAAAAAGTGCATTTCCCCTTTTTCTTTTTAAAGACAGAAGAGCCTTGCTGCCCAAAACCCTTACAAATAAGCCGTACTTGTTCAGTGTTTTTCCTGATTTTGTTGTGATGAACTTTAACATTTATTATGCTAACTGACTGAGTTTGAGCTGTGGCTTTGGGGGTTTTACAGTTTCTCAGCATTGCACAGTCTGACCTTGGGGTGAATTTCCTGGGACATCCACTCTTGAGACGACTGACTACTGCCTTCAGTATTTTCCACTTGTGAATAATCTTTCTTAGAATGATGCATGGTCATTCCTTACGTCTTTCCTCCTTGGCATTTCTCTAACCTACACCTGAAACTTCACAGATTTGTTCACACGTGCTGTTGACGTTAATCACATGCACCTTGCTGCTGCTTACACTTTTAATTCCTATGGAAGCATTAAGGGTGTTCTTACGTTTTCACACACACTGCTTTGACATGTTGGCTCAGTTTTATATTAAATACATAGTGTAACATGTCATGGTTTGTTCACCTGAGGTATTTACCTAAATTTTAGAACGGCTAAGGACCAGATTATTTTTAATATGTAAAACCTTAGAATTTAAACAGGGTGTAGTTTATTCTGACTTCCTCTGCCTCAGCTCACTAAGATACGCATTACACTAATTTGTAATGATATCTTAAAGGACGTCTTCTTTAAACAAATTATAATTTTACACTTTTCAAATTAGTTGAGGCCTGCAGATGAACCACTTGTGGTAAAAGCGCTCTTAGCTGGGAATCACCGTTCACCACTTTACATTTGTAATGAACGCAGTTTAACAGATCTCTGGTGTTGCGGAGAAGGCGGGCAGCTGTAGCCTTAAAACATTTTAAAATTCACTGCGGGTCGTGTCCGCGTGTGACGGTGATGTCTTCTGACTGCTGAGCACTGCTACATCCCTGAACACCAAAGTCGATGCTTTCTGGCATATGAATTATAGATGGACCCGGGCGAGTTGCCCTTCTCGTTTCTGAATAAGTAAAAAAGTTCTGACTTCAAGTGCGCGTGGAAACAAAGTGTGCATCTGTGACACCGTGGATGTGTGAGTGTCCCTTGGCGTGCGTGCTCCGGAGGAGGCAGCGGGGCAGACATAAATGAATGAAATAATGATGAGCAGGGCTGTCATCACCTTCCTCTCTTTAAGAAGAGGAGAGGAAACAGAGGAGGGGTGGGTGGGCTTTGACTGGTATTTGTTTCCATTACATCCCAGCGTAAGCCGTGTCAGAAAAGTGCCACTGAGAGAGAGCATGTAGAGGGCTACAAGACGCGTCTTCCGCTGATTATCAGCAAACAGTAAAAGTGTCAGTCCTCAGGGACATCACCTAAACTGCTCATTTTTCACTTTCTCTAGGCTTTCACTCTTGAATAAAAAAAATTATTTATGGCCTAGACATACTCTAAACCTTCTCTGAGCAAAAGTAGAAAAGCTTCTCAGTAACTAAGGTTGTTCACATGAGCTTCACGAGCATCTTTCAGCTGCTACTTTAAGGGTCACTCCAGCATGTATAGTGTCTTAAAGAAGTCACCCGCTTGAGTGAGTCAGAAGTCAGCTGTTAGATCCATACACTGTTAAAAGTGGTCTTTTTAGTCCTGTAATAATAATATTTATGATGTTTTAGCCACTTTGGACCCCAGAAGAGAAAATGTAAATTACACTGACAACATCATCACCCTGTTTTTTAAAAAACTAATTAATTTTAATCAAGAAAGTTTAAGTCTAATAATAATTGTGTAGAGCTTAATCACCACTCCGTCATGCCATGACTTGTGAAAGGTCAAAGATTGTATGAGTAATACACAAAAAGGAAATAAATGAATAAACAGCTAAACAGACAGCCTCGGATTTCTGGAACTGACCAGGTCAGCCACTGGTGACTTTTTGCGGTTCTGTTTTTCAACCTCCACCTGCATCTTGGCCATGGGCTTGGCCATAGCCAGGGCCAGTTTAGCCTCTGCTTGCAGCTTCTTCTGTCGACTCAAGAAGTCCATGTCCTCCAGAGACTCCGAGTCGTCCTCTGTGGTGTCCCTGTCCGAGTAGGAAGAACTCTGTTTGGACTGCAGGGAGGAGGAAGGTAGGGAGTAGGTAAAATGGGAATTGGATAATTGAAGGAGAGAGGAGACACAATTGGAAGTTAGAGGGAAAATAACGTATGGATCACACAAGAAAGAGGAAGTAATAAGGAGTTAACGCTCATGACTTCTTGGCATTTTGGTATGCAGATTTTAACACTGATGAGAGTGTCATTATGCACATGGGTGCGACACAAGGCTCAAATTTGATCTTTCTCCCTCTCATTTTGTTAAGTATGTCTCAGTGTGATAACAGGTTATTGCAGCCAGTCATCCGTGGTCTCAGCGAGCACCTACCAAATTGCTTTTCCTTGGAACTGTGAACTGGTGAACAGCGCAGAAAACACGAGCACAGAAATTCATAAAGGTGCTAAACTGCCAGTTATCTCTCTGATTCATATTGAACACACTATCCCTCCCACTAATCTGCTTTCATTCTTATTATTTCTTGATTTTCCGTTGATACAATCAAATCTTTACACTTTGCTACTTTCACATCATCATTACATCGCATAGTGATATCAGGATTTAAGTCCTTTTTTTCTTCTCCATTTTTGAATTTTGCCACGGGCTTCAGTGGTGGGCGTGTGGGCATCTGTGCATACCATAGGGGACAGAGGTGTGTCCAGGCTAGTCTCCGTCTTGCTGTCGTCTGCATCGCTGTCCTTATCGCTGCCACTATCGTTGACAAAACAGATTTGTAGGTTCATCCCACTCTGCAGCCTGAAAGAGAGGCGCGAAAACACAGAGAAAAACAATATTAGCACAAAGCGGGCGTTAAGTTGGTTCACTTGTTAGTTGATTCTGCAGTGACTGACGCAGACTTGGAGCAACACCAAAATGAACACTGATGCACTGCTGCTCTTACAAAGAGTGCTGCGAGTGTAAGAGAGCAAACACAAACCTTGATGTGCTAAAACACAGAAATACGGGAATAAGAAAGAAGATCCCAATAGAAACAAGTGCCCTTCATGAGCAGAGAAAAGTGCCAGCTGAAGATGAAATTAAAGAGAGCTCTTGTTTTTAATCATCTCCCCTTTGCATCGATCCAGGTGGCCTCAGATAGGTCTGCTGCAATCTGCCTGGACCAGAGGGGGTGTATTTGTGCCATGGAAGAACAGAATGTCGCAAGGTGTAGCTCCATCCCACTGTGGATCAATAATCTGCTTAATTCAATAGAGTAATTACAAACAGAGGTGATTGATTACATAGCATAGATCCAATCAGTCCCAATAAAAATAGGACCTGAGTGGCTGGTTGGTTTTTTGAGTGAGAGAAGGAGAATCAAAACACTCTCTGAATTGCACAGACCACTAAAGTGACTTTTTGACAACCAGGAGACGATACACTGAAGTTCAGCAATAAACAGTGTAGGGCCTGGCTGATATATGTATATATATATATATATAGTGCTTGGCAATATAAATCTGGCTCAGACATATTAGCATTGGTTAATATATCAGCTGACAATTAGCACTGAGTAGAAAGAGATGGAAATGCCTGAGACAGTGTCATAAGATGTAAACAGTCTTTTGGTACTCCAATATGAAAAATTCATAAATGTACTAAGCTCCTCATTTCAGGGTTTTCTCGAGAACATCGTGTTAATGTCAAACTGATGAGTGCATCTTATTTTGCACAATACTGCCCTTTGACGATTAACCACAAATAATGAGAAATCCACTTGATTCGAATCACGGGGATACGATGAGCACTGCAGTTCCAGTAAGGTACAAGTAGGAGGTTGTGTGTGTATGTGTGTGTGTTTCTGTGCATACACACGTTGGTATTTTCTTGGGAAGTGAAAAACCACAAGGTCTGACTATATGACATTACCCCACTCAGCTGCCAATGACAGTAAAGAGAACTTGATAGATATACATTTTGATTCAGCGCACTTTCACATTTAGAGAATTATGTGACCGCATAACACCCTCCACACACACACTTCAAAATAAAACAACAAAACAAACGAACGAACAACAAACCGCACGCAATCAAACACCTTCCAAGTGTTAGTCACATGCTTATACGAGAGATGTCAGCTGTGTTACCTTGAGGACAAACTGGGTTTGCCACTCTTGCTACAGCTGGTGTAGATGCCCGGCCCATCATCGAAGAAACTGCCCAGGGCCAACTTCTGCCTGATAGACTCCCGCTCATTCTTCTGGGCCTGCAACAGTAAAATAACAGGATTTGGTTACTTTTTGTGATCTTTTTGATGACTGATATTGCAGTTTCGAAATTAGGCCAAGTGTCTTCCCCTTTAGTAAGCTTCATCCCGCAGGACATGCACAGATAGAAAGCAGTGCCACCCTGATCACTTTCTGACTGTACAAACCAAAGATGCAAGCATATCTATAGCAGCATCTGTCTTAGCCAACTTTGATACAAAGCATGGTGTAGGCTGATTTACTAAAAAACAACAACCTGGTTTTGAAATATTAGAGCTTCAGAAATTGACAGTACCAGGATTCACCAGGAGGTGGTACTGTTGATTCAGAGAACAACACTTGATATCTCAGACAACGTGCAAGAGTTTATATAGAATAAACCCCTGAGAAATTACTCTAATGCACATTTCATGCATAATTAAAGGTGCAAGAAATTCCAAACAACACAGTTTCAGAGTTTCTCTTGTCTCGCCTCTTCAAGTAGCTCAGGACAGCTTCAGCACGGGTGGTGCTCATACAAAATCGCACCAGCTACCCATCTCGCCTCTGCTGATAACAGGTGAACACAGCAGGCAGAGATGCACGCTACTAGTGACCCACTTAAACTGTGGCGTCACATTTTTGAAGGACAAGCTCTGCAGAATTTTTTGCAGGTTGTTTGATAAACAGTTGCCCCAAACACTGCAGTGCCTAAACGTCCTTCTCTCAAATGGGAGTCTGGGGACCTGAAGGGAGGGAAAGGTTTACAAAACAAAGCTTTACATGATTTGAGGTTAAATCAACTATTTGGTTTGTGCACAGCAAAGCTATCCATAATGATGACATATTAACGTCTTATGGGAACCAGGGTACTGTGCTAAGATATATATCATGCAACTGCTACATTCCTGCTCTGTCTGTAGTCTCTCTCTTTCCCATATTTCTGGCCTGTATTTCTGTCTTAGAAAAGGCAAATTGGCAAAAGGGAGAGCGTAAGATTGAGGTGAGAATGTGCTAAGCAGGAAAGAGATACCTGTGGTGTTTGCCTGACTGATAGTCACTATTCCTGTCTTTGCGAGTTTGTCCATTACTTTATCTCCTTCCTATTTTCATGCAAACCATCTTAAAACTTTTCACCTTGCTCATCTGTCTTGTTGTTTCCATTTACATGCTTTCTTCTTCATCTTCATCCTCAGGCCCGTCCTAACCCTTCCATCAAACCATCTCTCTGCGTTCACTGTTCGTTACGCTACTCCAAATCGCACATCACACCTTCACCGCTCTCCCACTCATTTTCTCAACTCCTTCTCTCCCACCTTTCCTCTCTCACTGCCTATCTCTCTTGACAATTGCGTGCAGGCGTTGGTGAGAGTGCCTTCACTGAGGACAAATTAACATATTAACATAATCCCACTCCACACAAGAGGCCGCAAGACACTCCTTGTGCAGTGAGCACACACACACACATAAACACGCACTGGCATGTTGAGGAGCGGACCAGGCACTGCTCTGTTTGAGACACTCCCTGGAGAACACACTTGAAAGTTTCAATTCACCGCTTCAAAGGTGCAACAGCAGCCTGTGTGGCACAGTGCAGGTCAAACACGTATACTACACATCACTCATACTGACTGCAACAAAGCTGTCACTCATGTTACTCCACTGAACAGTAGCTCCAAGCAAAGGTAAGAATCAAAAGCAGCAGGCTCACTGAGCATCGGTAACTGCATGCTCCGCTCATGTGGTGAGAGCTAAGAAAAGACTAAAATGAGGGATGGGTGGGAAGGAATTCTTCACGAAGGCTCAGGGGATATTTTGGATGTTATTAATGTCACCTTAACAACAGGTAAAGACATGCTGAAGACCTTATGTAGGTGGAAATAAAGATGCAGATCTATTTAACAGCTTTGTGTTTATCCAGTTTTTAGTAATGTTTTACTATTCAGCTCAGCAGCACAGATTTACATTTAATGTCCAGTCATCAGAGTTCAGAGTTTTTTTAAATACATTAGTGATGCAGAAGACAAAGCATATGCTGCAATAATGTGCAACAGGGATGCCCAAGGACACGCTGGTTACTGATGATATTCAAGAGCAATAATTAACAGCACTGCTTATGAGTTTTACTGTTATACTCTTAAGCTGGTTCGACTCTATATAATGCAAACAATGAATACAGGAAAGCCAGGGCTGTTTTTAATCTGAATATTTTCTCAGTCAGCCGAGAAATCCTTCAATTCATTCAAGGTTACATCTTCACATTCGTGTTGTCTGTCTGACTAACACTGCAGAACACAAAGATATCCACTTGGTAATTATATGGTATAAAACAAGGAGGAAAGAAGCAGACCAGCGGGTTTAAGAAAACAGCCTATTAATGCAAGATAATTCTTAATTTTATTAGGGGGGTTATATTGGCTGGGTCTGATTATTGGGGGGGTCATAACCGCCCTAACCCCCCTGGAAATTACGCCCCTGGCAGGTATAGTCGTGATGCACTGTCAAAACTGATATGAAGACACACAAAACAACATTACGTTCCATAAAGAAGTGGGAAAATCTCTGGGAGTCAAACTGTAACACTGATCTGCAGTTGGATTAAAGCCGGATTAATGTTGTTGTGTTTGTGTCCGTAAGCATAGCTCTTTGGCTACACAGAGGAAAGGATTATTACAATCCAACCAACCAGAGGCTATGGAGACGCACATGCGTGTTGCTGGTGGTGATAATGTGAGGTGTGTGGATCTGACACTGCGTGGTCACTGGCTAACGACTTGTGACTGATAAGTTCTTAACTGGTGAACTTACCCTGACAAATTCTCATTTCTTCGGCGAGCACCATAACGCACTACATATTGGTTTCACATTTGTTTGCCCACATTACTGGCTGTTATATTGTTGACATCGCCCCCTGGTGACAGTAGACGACTACATCACGCAGATGTGGCTCTGCAAAGCTCTGCACCTGACACCTGCCTGACAAAACAACTTCCTCTCATTGAATAGGCGTCATCAGTTATACTGCTTGTTTGCGTTGTGCGCTTGTGTGTGCGTGCAGGTGGTAAAACAGTCATCATGAGAGATCCATAAACCTTTTAGAAAGGTGTTGAATATGCAACTAACAAGAGGAAGTGTGAAATGGGCAGATGTTTTTTTGTGCATGTTTTTCTCTCTTTAAATGTTAATATTTCATATTAGTTTCAGTTTCTCCCTTGACTGAAAATCAGTTTAATTACATACTTTTCAAACGCAGGAAGCTATCACATCCTGTCACAGTTTCCATATTCACTTCCACCTCTTACAGGTGTGACTTTTGAATGACAAGCAAACCTTGCAAGTCACAGGCTCCAGGCACACAAACCCTTTCCATTAGGTTTGCTATTCAAACATTCTTCCGTGCGCTTTACTCTGTAATTTTTCTGCTAAATATCCTCCCAAAGAAAGAAGAAAAACTAAAAATCCACAAAGCGCAAATGAGCATTTCCACTTGATGATGACATGGAAAATTGCTGGATCCATTACATTAACATTTTAATGCACGAAACGAGTAAGAGACACCGAATGAGAGATCATCCTAACTACCTCCATCAGTTCCTGGCCTAAACACTAGAGCCATCACTTTCCAAATTAGATTGGGACCAACACAATTGGACTAATTTCTGTTTTTCCTCAAAATCACCAAGCAATTTCCTCTGCTGAAAAAACCCTCATTGACAAAGGCATTTCCTCCTCTCCACTCTGCAGTACAACCATTCATCCGCAGGCCTAGAGGGTGATTTAGGCCTGGCAGTGGACGACAGGGTGCTTGTTTTGAGCCTTCAAATCTTCCCTGAAAATCTATATTAGAGAAGGGAGATGAATTTAATTATCCGCACCAGCAAAGAGCATCCTCCTTCTGCCTCCCACAAAATTGTTGGCTCTCGTGGCCAGAATTTTTTCAGTGGTTAAGATCTGAGACGTGTTTACATGTAAATGCGGATGTGCATGAATCAGTACAGCTGTGCTTGACTTTTCTCTGATTTCAGTCTCTGAAAGCCATCTTTTACTGTAACTTAAAATATGTGGTAGATAGTGTTTCTTTAAAACGTATAAACCCCTTCACTCCTTTGCGAAGGCTAAGGAATGTGATCAGTGCTGCATACTTTATCTTTTTTTTCATCAAGATTAACCCAAAAAACTAAAGGCTGAGTGTCTGGAGACTTGGTGGACAGGTGGAGCAAGGGAAGTGCATATTAAAGTTTGGAACAGATGGGGATCACTTTTGTTGAATTTGAGACATATGGTATTGGCCTTGGCTGAGGAGTGCTCTACAAGGTTTCTTCATCTCTTTTCACACAATTCCTTACAAAGTGGTCTCTCTTTTTCTGCACAATGGAGTCTTTTCAGTGACCCGGACCTTACTCCCTGACTGAGAACAAGAACCCACTGTTATCACACATGCACTTGCACAAAAATGCCGTTCTTCTGAGCACAGACTTCAGGTCTTCATGTATATTATTAGTAAATGCACGACAGTGGAGCACACCTGGGCATGACTGAGTGCTTGTTTTCAGCGAAGGTGCTGTGTCGATGTGCGTGTGCGTTGCTGCGTTATGAAATTTCTGTGTGATGGTGTGAATCCAAACAGGGATGACTTCACTCACATATATTTTCCAGGACTAACAGTGGGATGCTGCTGAACCCTCAGCTTTACAAACAGAAACAAGGCCAAAAAGTCTTCTGTATGAGCCAGTTGTTATGACTGTGCTACATACTTTCACATTTCACACAGATGTTCTTGCAGGCTTAGAGTAAAACTGGATCAACTTGACTATATTTAAAATTTAAAATGTAACATCGAGGGGAAAATGCTCATTTCTATTTTTGCTTTCTTGCTTGTCTGCACTGTCTGTACCACTGTAATGTACAATTACAGTTCGAAAACAGTGAGTGCATGTCCAGCAGCTGGTAATCCATTATACAGCATAGCTACTTAGAAGCATATCTAAAGCAAAATAGCACATGAGATTTTGTAACCCCT